AATCAAATAGAAGAGAGAAAAAACACCTTGTTGATTCAAATTCTAATTTAAAAATTACAGTGACAAAAAAAGGAATTCAGAATGTTATACTGACACAGACATATTGAGAAATATATGTTTATCAGGCCGATGTCAGCTGTTGCTGGCGAGGTGAAGGCAGAGCAGCATTCGGCACGTACACGGAGTATCAATGTCTCTCGCTCTCTCGGTTCATGATGTCGATTAGTTACAAATTCCTCCATATAGCTGAAATATCGCTGAGTTGAGCGTTAAACAAGAGACAAATAAACAGGACAGAAATAATTACATCCCCGTGACATTGTGACAATTAAGATCACCAGCATATCAGGCTAATAGATGAATGGTTTTCTCTGCCATTCCAAGATTCATTAAAAAAAGTGCAATAATTTCTATGTACAGAATGGGGATGATTTCTTTTCATAGCGGGGCGGTGGGTTGGCCTAGTGGTTAAAGCGTTGGCTCGTCACACCGAAGACCCGGGTTCGAATCCCCACATGGATACAATGTGTGAAGCCCATTTCTGGTGTCCCCCGCCTTGATTTTGCTGGAATATTGCTAAAAGCTGCGTAAGCAAACTCAGTCAGTCAGTCAGTCTTTTCATAGCCTTTTCTTACCGGATGTTTCATGTTGATAATATGTGTTGTGTCCGACATAAATCAATCCACGATGAGTATACTCAGTGTCAAACATTACGTTTGTAAATTCTACAGCATGTTTTAGTTATACTGCTTTGCATTTGTTTTGGGAAAAGGTGATGAAATATTCCCCAACTTTAGTGAACAGTTTTTGATGATGCTAGCAAATGATTTGATACTTCAAATAGAAGTTGAGTTCATGATATCACCTCCCGAGGTGTGCAATCTAAACTAGATGTTGCAGCTTTCCTGTTTGCAACTGTTATGTTCCTACGCAATGTCAAGCATAAAGTTGGAATGCAACATGCACGATGAATCTGAAACTCTTGCTACGTTTCACAGAAATCGGCATATAGTAATACTTTTTCCATATAAACATACCTTTTACACAGTTAAAGTTGTAATGCACGTGCAACAATAAAGATTCAAGCAGCCCCATCGCCCTATTTGGATCACGAATGTAACAGTTTTGTCTCGTCTGGCTCGACGTCAAGGACCACATTGCTAATCAGGCGGATTAATCAAATCAAATCAAATCAAGAATCAAACTTTATTAAACAATTATCAATGAAAAGGAATAATTATTTTTACCTGCGCTCAGTTTGGATTGTCAGCTGGAATATTGCTCTGGGTGCCGGTAAACAAAACGCACAAATACCTTTATTTTGAACAAAGCCAAATTAGGCTATAATGGATCTTTTTCCTGTATGTGGTTTTGGTTTTTGTTATTGTTTTTCTTCAATTTCAAAAGAATACTAGACATTACTTTGATGGGCATTTTAGAAGTTGAGGTGATCAAGAATGATGATAATTTTATGGATATACAAGTTATTTATTCTGTGAGGGCGAGGTTTTGGCATAGGTTCTAATGTCCTTGTCACTTGCTTGACATTAGAACCAATGCCAAAACGTCGCCCACACAGAATAAGAAGGTTTCATATCCATAAAATTATCATCATTCTTAATATTACACAGTTTATATCATGCTCAAGAAATAAAAACGTTCCCACATTTTGATAAAAGCCTACATCTCATCTGTCCTCGAACACTGAATCCTCCACATAAGACATGCTTTTGTTAAAGAGGTCAACAGGTAGTATATTACTGCAAGCAGCTGTTCAACCAGAACGTTAACCAGATTAGTAAATTAAGCGTATGTTTAAAAGTTGTTCATGCATGCGATTGTGAGGGAAACTGTATCCACCATTGATTGTAAAAATGGAATTCCATGTGTCCTTAAAGATATACTTGACGTCTTTCATAAACAGAGCATGTTCCCTTTCATCAAAACACCAAAAGAAACATATACCCCATGCCAATAATGGTACTCACCCCCAGTCATATTAATACAATTGAAGGGGGTGACAACCATTATTGGCATGGGGTATACTCTGAACAAACTGACACTTTATGTGTTTCCAGTTTAATTGCCACCAAATTCCCTGCCCACTCTAGTATAGTCTACTCACAGTATTTTGTGTGTCTCTCGTTTTCATACCCATCTAACTGAATTACTATAGTACACCTGTTCAAAGCGGCATTACACCACTTTCCACTGAATTAACGAAAACTCGTTCATTCATCGTCATGTTCAGCTACAAAGAGAAACGAAGCAAAACAGAAACTAAAGTATGCAGGTAAAATCTTTGGTTGATACTACAAGATTATAGGTTCACAAAATAGAGCGTGACCTCGTGTATTTCAAACTTAAGCATCGTTCTAGGAAGTAATACAGCTTAATACATGAAATCTCATCTAATATCTATATCCTGCCGTATTGTTTGGGTAACAAATAATCCCATTTAAATTAAAAAAGCAGCCCCAGTGAGATGGGAGATCCTGTACCCGAAGAAGCTTCATTTAGGGCCTTAGCAATGCAGGGTGGGCTACGGGGATAAAGGGAAATAATGGTGTTCAGGGACTTTGAGACAGTCTACTGGATCGGATGCCATACACCTTTCTATGTTGCTAGCGCTTCATACAAGTCATAAGCATGGAGGTACGTTTTCCTTTATACGACACCCCTCACCACTTTAACTACAAGTGGTATACGTTATCGTGCTTTGTTACACAACCACTATCACCACTGATGTGTTTCACTCAGTAATCATGCGGTCCATCTAATTGCTGGAAGCTACCTATAAGAAACTATATTTGTCTGTTCTGGACGATGTAAGCTATATCCTCAGGTTTTGATGAAGATCACGTATATCAATACTGACTACTCTGTGAGGAAGAAACTCCCAAAACTGACCAAACGTTTTGTGGCTGGTGTAGTCCTCGTCCATCCATCATTAAGCTACGTATATGTATCTCCTGGGTTTCATGCATGCCTTGAACGGAGAGATATGTTTCCTCTTTGTGGTTTCTTCACATTTCAGTTGTCCCCAGGACGTTTATCCTTATGGTAGCACAAAGTTCAGCACACTATTGAGATCAAGTAGTCGTTGTGTAGCTCAGGTCATTCCAGGAATCTCCTCAATGGATGGTGTGTTTCACCTGGTGATCATGTGGTCTATTTCACTTCATGTTGGAAATGACCTCTTTCAATAATGTGTGACCGCCGCAATACAGACCGCCACCATATAGCTGGAATATTGCTGACTGCGGCGTTAAACAAGAATAAATCAATCACCTATATTTATTCTTGTGTCTGTTTACACTTCAGCTGTCCCCAGGACGTTTATCCTTAAGGTAACACCAGGTTCAGCACACTGTTGAGAGCAAGTAGCCGTTGTGTAGCTCAGGTCATCCCTGAAATCTTCCCAACAGCTATAACCACAGTTATGTTCCACTGGTGCTCATGCGGACTATTGCACTTCATGCTGGAAATGACCTCTTTGAATATTGCATGTTTGCAATTCACTGACAAAGCGATGCCCATCCGTGAAAACACAAACATTTCCAGACTAACCCAATGCACCGTATGTCACGAGCAGTCAATGACAAACGCTTAAACCACAGCCCCGCACTAACTTTCATTCTTTTTTTTTCATGTCAGACACACATGTACTCTTTAACTTCCGTGTCTGTCCACAGAAATAAGAAACCGTATTTATCACGGAATACATCCCTAATGAATGCATCATCATCATCATCATCGTCGTCGTCGTCGTCATCATCATTATCATCATCATTATCATCATCATCATCATCATCATCATCCTCATCATCCTCTTCAAACATGGGCAATTCTCCAATTAACTGCCCCGACTCTGTCAGCTGTACCACCTTGTCAGTGCCACTGTCCATAGTCAAGATACCTCCTGTGCTGGTAGTAGTGATACCACGAGAGTTCCTGAGTGCTTTGTCTCCGGTAGGGGAGTATTTCCACACAACATCCCCCTCTGACGTTAGACATGTCACAGACTTCTTCCCACAGTCAGACACGAGTAGGTTGCCCTTGTTGCTGACACACATGTCGATGGGACTGGTAAACAGTGAGTCATCATTGTATGTGGTGACTGACCTCAACACGTGTCCAGCCATGTCCAGGATATCAACACAGCCGCAAACACCTGCTGCCAGATCGGAAGGATTCAGTACGTGTTTTGATGGTTGAGAGAAACAACAGGTCACGGGTCACTATAGTACAGCTGTTCAAAGCGGCATTACACTTCATTCCATTGAATTACAAACTCGTTCATTCATTGTCATGCAGCTACAAAGAGAAACGAAGCAAAACGGAACCAAAACTGAAATATACATGTGCAATATAATGGTCTGATGTATAAGAGATGTGAAAATGGGTGCACAAAATAGAAACGTGACGTCAAGTATTTCAATTTGCTCTACGAAATAATATAATTTAATACCTGAAATCTCACTAACTTTTCTTGTCCAACCATATTATCATATGAATTTCTCATCTTCAGGGTCATCTAACGGACAGAAAGAAAAACTGCGCACATTCAGTTTACTTCCTAACAAGCAATACCACAATTTGGCTTGGGGTGACATTTCAACATAGTGTTTCCTGTGTATAACATGTGAAAACAGGGATACAGTATACCCTTGACCTCAAGACTTCAATTTGTATACTTCCTTTCAAATATTTAGACTCACTTAAAACAGTCTAAACTTTTGATGAGAAGTATATTACACTAATGAGCCTAAACTTTTTGAAAGGAATTATATATGGTTTTAGGAAACATCGCTCAGTACTAGAAATATCGTTTGGAATTTGTTTGGGCCCTTGCTTTGTTGACCGGGTGATGAGATCATTCTAAATACATACAGTGGTGTGGTCATATACACGGAAACATGTACACTTCCGAGTAACAAAAAACCTAACCAGCACCAGGTTCGTTATTCCTCAAACACCATGCACAGAATGTCATAAACCACAGCTCTGCACTGACTTTCATTCTTTTGATTTTTATGTCAGACAAACACGTACTCTTTCACTTCCGTGTCTGTGCATAGAAATAAGAAACCGTATTTATCACAAAATATATCGCGCATGCCTGTCTCACCGCCATCTTCTAACGTGAGCAGTTCCCTGACAAACTCCCCCGACTCTGTCAGCTGTATCACCTTGTAAGTGTCCCTGTCTACAAGCAGGATGTCTCCTGTGCTGGTAGTTGTGATACCACAAGGGTAGCTGAGTGCCTTGTCTCCGGCAGGGGCGTATCTCCATAAAACATCCCCCTCTGACGTCAGACATGTCACATACTTCTTCCCGTAGTCAGACACGAGTATGTTGCCCTTGTTGGTGACGAAGATGTAGTCAGGGTAGGCAAATAGTAACGTTTTCTTTTCTGTAATGACAGATCTCAACACGTGTCCAGCCATGTCCAGGATATCCATGCGTTCCTTAGTACCTGCTGCTAGGCAGGAAGGATTCAGTACAGCCAGACTGTCGTATCCGGTACGTGTTTTGGTGGTAGAGAGCAGCACCAGGTCAGGGGTCACTTCTATTGTTACAATCTGAAGGGATAAAGGGACAGCAACCATCACCTGCTTCTCATTCAACTGTGTTATCCCCTTTGGAGAGTTACCCAGGGGAAGCTTACTATGGCTTGAATGATTATTTCTTGTGAAGAAAGATTTCACGCACTTGTTATTATAGTCGGTAACAACACATGTCTGTACACCATCTACAACCAGAACTGTCACGTCTTGTAGGTAAGGCTCCCCATCATCACCCGACACCCTCCCATCTCTCGTGTCAACCAGCACTAGAGATGGCAGACATGTACCCTGATCCTGGTATGTGACGTCAGTCTTCCCCAACTGTAGGTTATCTAGGACCTTCAGGACGTTGTCAGTGTCTGGTGTAAAGATGATGTCTTCTATTCTCCGGATGTCTGCTGCCTCTGTATCCCTGACATCCTCCATCTTTACAGCTCCAGACTCCCAGACCTGATACGCGTCATACAGATCCATCTCACAGCCCGATACCAAGGCCTGGTCAATGAACTCACAATGTTGTCTGTACATCTGCATCTCGATCTCTTCCATCTTCACATCAGCTTGGAGTTTGCCGGCGTAGGTCTGTGATATGTTATTCAGTTCATCCAAGAGTTGTGTTTCTTTCTGTTTAATCTTGCTAATAGCTGTCTGGCAGATCAACCTAATATTTTGAAGAGCTGACTCTGTGATTCTAGAATTACTTTCGAGTTTTTCGTTTCGTATGTCTACTTTCTTCGACCTCACTTTCAGTCTCTTCTCCATGCCAAGTCTCTTCTCCATCAGTGCTGCCTTCATCCCTGGCTTCATAGACTCAATGGTGACGACAGTTTTACAAGCTCTGTGGTAGATGATACAACATGTCTGACAGGCAGCCTTCCCACAGTCTTGACAGTGGAACTCAACACGGTTACTCTTGTGTTCCGTACACTTGATCATCCGTTTGACCTTTGACCTAGACGACAGATCACACAGGTCATGGTTCAATGAAGTAGGGGTCACCCGGTGTGTCTTCACACATTTGTCACACAGGGCCACCTCACACTCAGGACACCACAAGGCCCCTGGAGTTGTCTCCCCTAGTTGCTGACAGATCGTACAACAGGTGCTCGAGGTCTCTGTAAACACAAGTACAAACGTACTTATTTTCATCACAACTTGAAAAGGCTACTAAAGAAAGCAGGGTATTTATAACACACACAGATGTCAATGTTAAGTCTACCACTGGTTTTAAATACATACATACACATACACACACGCATATCATATTTTCACTTTACCTTGCACAGCGACATCGGACCTATAGGTGTCAATCAGCCCCTGTATCACAATGCTGGCTTTGATCTGCCCCGCCCACTCCTCCACCGGCCTGCTGGGGTGGGGGACCTTGGTGTCTTGTCGACAGCAGGGACAGGGGATGGTCTTGGACTGTACAGCATCTGGTCTGGTTTGGATGTATGAGGTGATACATTTCCTGCAGAATGTGTGATCACACCTCAGTGTACACGGGTCTGTGTACATCTCGAAGCAGATGGAGCACGTCAGGAAATTATCCTTTACTTTCTTCTCTAGCCCGGCGGTCGCCATCTGTAAGATACACATGCAGTTTGTGCCTGTTTAGTTTAACACAAATAAATTACGCTTTACTCACTACAGATTCCATAAGCAGCAATGGAAGATCTGAACATACACGCACCTGCATGTGAAGCTGTATACAAACACACTCACACACTCAGACACACTTTAAATATAAACGGATGTCTGTCTACCTGTCTTTCTCTCTATCTATCTAACTGTATATACATACATACAGAGATAGAGATAGAGAGAGAGAGAGAGAGAGAGTATGCCTCTGTGTGTGTGTGTGTGTGTGTGTGTGTGAATGTGTGTGAATGTGTGTGATATGTAAACTGCATGTGAGCCTCTGTACCCAAGCTGTCAGACTGGGTACACTGACACCTTTTTTTACCTTACCATAGTTACCATATTATTTACCATGCAAGTCCGTAGTAATCTTGGGAGCATATTCGTGCACATGGTGCCAATCTGAACTGCTTGTCGTCCAGGATGTTACTGCCACACAGTATCTGAGACAGGTCATCACCCACGTTCTTCTGCCATATAAGCAGCTACATGAACCAGGACTGACATGTTACCATGACAACGTCGAGCCCCACCTTGTTGTTACTAACGCTGGTGTTGACGTCATGGACTGGCCTTCCCGTTCCCAATTGAGGTATACACAGGATGTTCCCTGACTGTCTCTATTGAACAGTATATCATAAGGGAAGTTCGGCCAAAACCTTCATTCCTGCCAGATACATGCACTTCAGGTGTGGAAAACACAACCGACATATCTGCACCGCAACGACTTGGATCATGTACATATATTTAATCTAATCGCTCACCGTTAACCTCAACCCTTCTCAAAGGCAAACACTGACACTACACATGGTCGACACGCCGCCTAGCCAACAGATGTAAGGTATCGCACAAAACACAATAGGGGAATTATTGAATGGACACCCTCACCGAAATTATACCTGAACACTGACTATTACACAAACCAATGAACAGGTCAACGTCAGATCTTATTTACGTCATCATAGTTACCATATTATTTACCATGCATGTACTTAATAATCTTTGGAGCATATTCGTGCCAATGGTCGATCTCAGCCGATTGTCATCCAGGATAATGTTACTGCTATACAGTATCGGGACCAGGTTAACAGGGACTCTCGCCCCAAACCTACGTTCCTCTCAGATACATGCACTTCAGGCGTGGAGAACACAACCGACATGCCTGCACCGCCACCACTATACTCATGGTGTCTATTCACTCGCCTTTAACCTCAAACACTGACAATGCACATGATCGGCATTCCCCGCAGCTAGCAGTAGTAAGGTATCGCTAAAAGCACAGTACGTAGGAGGAACGATTGAACGGATACATTCATTGAAATTACACCTGAACAATATTAATCAAGTCCACGAATCAGTCAATGACAAAACCTTTGTATAATTGGATTGACCCACTTAGCTCCAGTACTACGTGTTACAACACCATCACGAGGATATCGTATAAAGTGATAACGAAAGTAGACCACAGGGGCTTGTAACGCTAAAAACTGCCATCAAGGTAAATACTCTCACTGATGGGGTCTTAGTACTATTAACGCTAAAAACTGCCATCAAGGTATATACTGTCACTGACGGGGTCTTTGTACTATTATAGTGCTAAGACCCCGTCAGTGACAGTATATACCTTGATGGCAGTTTTTAGCGTTACAAGCCCCTTTGAAGTAAACAACTTACCCTCACAATTATCACTGATTTCAAGACGTACTGACACCCGTACATTTCTATCAGATAATGAAGAACATTTGACAAAACACAATAAATGGTATCAGTTGTCAGTTTAACAATATCTACTTTGCGGAAAATCAGAAGCAATGACTTAAGTCTACCTTTCCGGTGGCTGTGTGTTCGTGTGGTTTGTCGTATTCGGTTGAACTCGACCTTTTCCGTAAGGGTTCTCTCGGCTGGGCGCGAATTGCCCTTTGTTGACGTGAAGGACGTTTCTGTGTATATGACACACATAAAGGGCTTTAGCCCGACAAGCAGGTAAGAGTCTAAGTCGGCCTTTTCGTTGATTTGTGGGTTCATTATTGTAAATCTTTAGTTACTTGTAGTCTATGGTACGTGATATGTTTTGAAGGGTATATATGTCAATAATGCTCCCACAAGGCTCATAATAAAAAGTATATTTAATTATTCTAATCTCTTGTTAAAACGGAAATATGGATGTGATATGATCTTGGAATCTACAGAATTTACTCAAAACACTTTGTTGAAGGTGTGTAAATAGCAAATATTTCTATTGTCTAGGACATCGCAGTGAGGCAGTAAGGGTGTACAAACGGCTATCTGACAACCAGAAAGCTGCAGTGTCTGAGATCTGAAAAGTCAAGACCAGCCGAGGCCCACCCGCAAACCACTGTAACATGGTTACAAAGACCGACCCACAGTCAGAATGTGCTGTTGGAGAGGCTCGTTCACAACACGAAATCCCATCTACTGACTGGCACAAAACTGTCCATGTCACTCTAAGCCACAGGTATTCACACTTGTAAAACCCGGTTAGGGGTCTTTGTTCAAAAAGTAAAACCTCTTACCGGGTTTTACAACTGGTAAAACCTCCCATTGGAGGTTATTCCAAGGTTTTAAGCTACCTCTTCAATAAAATGGGCAAGAATAGGTTTAGGTTTATAAAGTCTGTAAAACAAGCACCCGGTGTTGGTATGCTTACAAGAAATTGAGATAACGTGTCACCATAACCAAAAGGGAACGTTGACGCATTAAAGCGGCTAAGAAACCAAATGTCCAGTAAAGCAACTTTCAGAAAATCTTTGAAACAACATAAACAATACTGGTTACAATTCTTTCCCTGTCCTACACCTACTCCCTGTGTTTCCCAACTAAGCGATTTAATCTTTTACACATACGTATACTGAGTTTGAACACGTATCTAAACAGTAAGTGACCGTTCACATGTATTCATGTTCATCTCTAAATGCCTTCCAGGAACTGAAATGCATGTGTTGTGTAATTGTTACTGATAAATCCCATTGACTTCTCCCACCCGTGAAGGTCCGGGTTAGAACTGTTCCTCAGTAGCCCATGCTTGTCGGCTTGTCGTAAGAGGCAACTAACGGGATCGGGTGGACAGGCTGGCTGATTTGGTGGACTCATGTCATAGTATTTCAGTTGCAAAGATTGATGTTCATAATGCTGATCACTGGCTGGTCCAGGCTCGATTATTTACAGATAGCCGCCATATAGCTGGAACATAGCTGAGTGCAGCGTTAAATAACAAACCATAATCAACCAACGTTGACCTCTCTGAACACTTATTCAAATAGAAGAGAAAAAACACCTTGTTTATTCAAATTCTAATTTTAAAAATTACAGTGACAAAAAAAGGTATTCAGAATGTTAAACTGACACAGACACATTGAGAAGCATATGTTTATCAGGCCGAGGTCAGCTGTTGCTGGCGAGGTGCAGGCGGAGCAGCATTCGGCACATACACGATGTATCAATGTCTCTCGCTCTCTCGGTTCATGATGTTGATCACTGGACTAACCGGTCCAGACTCGATTAGTTACAATATTCCGCCATATAGTTAGTATTTGATGATGCCAGTTAACGATTCCTCGTTTTCAAATAGAAGTTGTGTTCATGATAGCACCTACTGAGTTGTGCAATGTAAACTATATCTCTAGAGTCTCATGGAGGACAGTATTACTTTTTGCCATATGAAAATACTTTTTACACAGTTAAAGTTGTAGTGCACGTGTATCACGATCACAGCCCGTGCTTGAATAATGACAATTCAAGCAGCTCCATCGCCCTATTTGGACCATGAATGTAACCGTTTTGTCTAGTCCGGCTCTACGTCAAGGGCCACATTGCTACTCAGGCTGAAATGCGACCTAACCTTAGTCAGAAACTATCATCGAACACGAATAATTATCATGCACTTCTTGAGCTCTGCTTGGATTGTCAGCTTTAATATTGCTCTGGGTGCAGTTAAAAAAAACCCACAAATACCTTCGTGTGAACAAGACCCTATTAGGCTATCATGGATATTTTCTCTCGTTTTTTCGCTCATATTTCAGAATTATTACTAGACAGTTTATGTCATGCTCAAGAAACAAATTGCTCCTACATTTTGACAAAGGCTCGACGTATTGCCTTGATAAATCAGATAATATAGAGAGGGCACAGCTACTCATCTGATATGTTCCGGAAATGAAGCCAAACTTTCGTTAAAGTCTCACACAAATCTCAAGGCTCCTGCAGCTCTTTAATGCAGAATATACCGCACGCTCCTTAGGCGATTCCCAACTTGTTTGAATCAGCTAAGTGAAATTGACCAGAGACATGTGAATGAATATCGAGAAAGAAAGACAAGAAAATGTTGCCTCATTTTAACGCCGGGTCAAATGAACTGGCAAACACTCAAGTGTAATTTTAATATTTTTTCCGCGAATGTGGAAAGGGTTTTGTTTAACATTTTCAGGAATGATCATGCATGTGGTTGTTAGGGAAACGGTATCCTTCCTATTATTGTAATCACATATCTTATGAAAATGGAATTCCATGGGTCCTTACAAATATGCCTGACGTCTTTCATAAACAGAGTATGTCCCATTTCACTAACACCAAAAGAAACATACTTTGAACAAACTGACACTTTATGTGTTTTCAATGTAATTACCTACAACTTTTATCACCAAAAGTATCACCGTCAAAGAATAACTGTCGCTAGCCGAAATATACTTCCAATCTAGACTGACAGTATCTTAGACTGGTATCCCAGATTTGTGATCTCGTCCCAGCAATTACATCTATAAAAGGTAGGGCCAAATGTTACCAAATGTCCTTGTCCTCCTCTCTAGTATAGTCTACTCACAGTATTTTGTGTGTCTCTCATCATCATGCCCATCTAACTGTATCACTGTAGCACAGCTGTTCAAAGCGGCATTACACCTCATTCCATTGAATTACAACTCGCGATCGTTCATTCACCGCTACAAAGAGAAACGAAGCAAAACAGAAACAAAAGCTGAAATATACATGTGCAATATAATGGTCTGATGTATAGGAAATGTGAAAATGGGTGCACAAAATAGGAACGTGACGTCAAGTATTTCAAATGTTAGCATTGCTCTACGAAATAATATAATTTAATACCTGAAATCTCACTAACTTTTCTTGTCCAACCATATTATCATATGAATTTCTCATCTTCAGGGTCATCTAACGGACAGAAATCTAAAACTGCGCACATTCATTTTACTTCCTAACAAGCAATAAAATCTGAAAAGAGAACAATTTGGCTTGGGGTGACATTTCAACATAGTGTCTCCTGTGTATAATATGTGAAAACAGGGATACAGTATACCCTTGACCTCAAGACTTCAATTTGTATACTTCCTTTCAAAAGTTTAGACTCACTTGAACAGTCTAAACTTTTGATGGGAAGTATATTACACTAGTGAGTCTAAACTTTTTGAAAGGAATTATATATGGTTTTAGGAAACATCGCTCAGTACTAGAAATATCGTTTTGAATTTGTTTGGGCCCATGCTTTGTTGAACGGATCATGTGATCGTTCTAAATACACATACAGTGGTGTGGTCATATACACGGAAACATGTACATTTCCGAGTAACAAAAAACCTAACCAGCACCGGGTTCGTTATTCCTCAGTTCTATCCAACACAAAATGTTCTTTGTTTTTCGAAAAACAAATAATATACCCTGACTCTTTCTTAGCTTTAGTCTATCGTAAGGATAACGGAGAGGAATATTTATATTTAGGGATTTCTTCAAAGTTCAGCTGGTTCAGCACACTGTTGAGATCAAGTAGTCGTTGTGTAGCTCAGGTCATCCCAGGAATCTCCACAACAGCTGGTGATCTTTCACCTGGTTGACTTTTTCACTTCATGCTGGAAACGACCTATTTGAATATTGCATGTCTGCAATTCACTGACAAAGCTATGCCCATACGTTTTGGTGAAGACACAAGCCATTCCAGACGAACACCATGCACAGAATGTCATAAACCACAGCTCTGCACTGACTTTCATTCTTTTGATTTTTATGTCAGACAAACTCGTACTCTTTCACTTCCGTGTCTGTGCATAGAAATAAGAAACCGTATTTATCACAAAATATATCGCGCATGCTTGTCTCATCGCCATCTTCTAAAGTGAGCAGTTCGCTGAAAAACTCCCCCGACTCTGTCAGCTGTATCACCTTGTCTGTGCCCCTGTCTACAAACAGGATGTCTCCTGTGCTTGTAGTTGTGATACCACGAGGGTAGCTGAGTGCTCTGTCTCCGATACGGTTGTATCTCCATAAAACATCCCCCTCTGACGTCGGACATGCCACAGACTTGTTCCGACATTCAGACACGAGTACGTCGCCCTCGTTGTTGACACACATGTAGTCGGGGTAGGCAAACAGTGAGTCATCATTGCATGTAGTGATTGACCTCAACACGTGTCCAGCCATGTCCAGGATATCAACACATTCCCAAGTACCTGCTGCTAGAGATGAAGGATTCAGAACAGCCAGACTGTAGTATCCGGTATGTGTTGTAATGGTTGAGAGCAGCACCAGGTCAGGGGTCACTTCTACCGTTACAATCTGACGGGATAAAGGGACAGCAACCATCACCTGCTTCTCATTCAACTGTGTTATCCCGTTTGGAGAGTTATCCAGGGGAAGCTTACTATGGCATGAATGATTTTTTCTTGTGAAAAAAGATTTCACACACATGTTATTATTGTCGGTAACAACACGTTTGTACACCATCTACAACCAGGACTATCATTTCATATAGATAAGGCTTCTCACCATCCACCAACCTCCCATCTCTCGTGTCAACCAGCACAGGAGTTGACAGACATCTGTCCTGGTATGTGACGTCGATGTCCCCAAACTGCAGACTATCTAGGACCTTCAGGACTTTTACAGTATCTGCTGTAAAACCCATGTGATCTATTCTCCGGGTGGCTGCAGCCTCTGTACATCTGGAATCCTCCATCTTTACAGCTCCAGACTCCCAGACCTGATACGCGTCATACAGATAGATCTCACAGTCCGATACCAAGGTCTGGTCAATGAACTCACAATGTTGTCTGTACATCTGCATCTCGATCTCTTCCAGCTTCACATCAGCTCGGAGTTGGTCTGTGATATGTCATTCAGTTCATCCAAGAGTCGTGTTTCTTTCTGTTTAATCTTGTTAATGGCTGTCAGGGAGATCAACCTAATATTTTGAAGAGCTGACTTCGTGATTCTAGAATTACTTTGGAGCTTCTCGTTTCGTATGTCTACTTTCTTCGACCTCACTTTCAGTCTCTTCTCCATGCCAAGTCTCTTCTCCATCAGTGCTTCCTTCATCCCTGGCTTCATAGACTCAATGGTGACGACAGTCTTACAAGCTCTGTGGTAGATGATACAACATGTCTGACAGGCAGCCTTCCCACAGTCTTGACAGTGGAACTCAACACTGTTACTCTTGTGTTCCGTACACTTGATCATCCGTTTGACATTTGACCTAGATGACAGATCACACAGGTCATGGTTTAGTGAATTGGGTGTCACCTGGTGTATCTTCACACATTTGTCACAGAGGGCCACTTCACACTCAGGACACCACAAGACCCCTGGAGTTGTCTCCCCTAGTTGCTGACAGATCGTACAACAGGTGCTCGAGGTCTCTGTAAACACAAGTTAACGTACTTACTTTCATCACAACTTGAAAAGGCAACTAAAGAAATCAGGGTATTTCTAACACACACAGATGTCAATGTTAAGTCTACCACTGGTGTTAAATACATACACACACGCATATCATATTTCCACTTTACCTTGCACATCTTGCTCAGACCTATAGGCGTCAATTAGCCCCTGTATCACAATGCTGGCTTTGATCTGCCCCACCCACTTCTCCACCGGCCTGCTGGGGTGGGGGACCTTGGTGTCTCTATCTATCTAACTGTATATACATACACACTCACACACAGACACACACACAGACACACATATATATATATATATAGACAGAGAGAGAGAGAGAGAGTGATGTGTGTGTGTGTGTGTGTGTGTGTGATACGTAAACTGCATGTGAGCCTCTGTACCCGATCAGTCAGACTGGGTACACTGACACCTTTTTTACCTTACCATAGTTACCATATTATTTACCATGCGAGTCCGTAGTAATCGTCGGAGCACATTTGCGCAAATGGTGCCAATCTCAACTGCTCGTCGTCCAGGATAATCCTGCCACACACTATCAGGAACAGGTTTTCACCCACGTTCTTCTGCCATATATGAAGCTACACGGTCCTGGACTGACATGTTACTATGACAACGTCGAACCCCACCCTGTTGTTACTAACGCTGGTGTTGATGTCATGAACTGGCCTTCCATTTCCCCATACACAGTGTTTTCTCTGACTGTCTATATTGAACGGGATATTAACAGGGTAGTTCGGCTAAAACCTACATTCCTGCCTGATATATGCACTTCAGTTGTGGAAAACACAACCGACATATCTGCTCCGCCACGACTTGGATCTTGTACCATGTACATATACATGTATTTAATCTAATTACTCACCTTTGACCTCGACCCTTTTCATGGGCAAACAATAACCAAGAACGCACATGGTCTACACGCCCCCTAGCCACCAGAAGTAAGGTATCGCACCAAACACAGTAGGGGGAACGATTGAATGGACACCCTCACCGAAATTATACCTGAACACTGACTATTACACAAATCAATGAATAGGTCAATGTCAGATCTTATTTACGTCATCATAGTTACCATATTATTTACCATGCATGTACTTAATAATCTTGGGAGCATATTCGTGCCAATGGTCGATCTCAGCCGATTGTCATCCAGGATAATGTTACTGCTATACAGTATCGGGACCAGGTTAACAGGGACTCTCGACCTAAACCTACGTTCCTCTCAGATACATGCACTTCAGGCGTGGAGAACACAACCGACATACCTGCACCGCCACCACTATACTCATGGTGTCTATTCACTCGCCTTTAACCTCAACCCTTTTCAGAGACAAACACTAACACTACACATGATCGGCAAGCCCCGCAGCCAACAGTAGTAAGGTATCGCAAAAAAACACGGTACGTAGGAGGAACGACTGAACGGATACATTCAGTAAAAGTACACCTGGACACTATTAATCAAGTCCATGAATCAGTCAACGACAATACCTTTGTATAATTGGATTTACCTACTCAGCTCCAGTACTTCGTGTTACAACACCATCACGAGGATATCGTATAAAGTGATAACGAAAGTAGACAACTTACCCTCACAATTATCACTGATTTCAAGACGTATTCATATCTGTATATTTCTATCAGATAATGAACAACATTTGACAAAACACAATAAATGGTATCAGTTGTCAGTTTAACAAATTGTACTTTACAGAAAATCACAAGCAATGACTTAAGCCTACCTTTCGGCTGGCTGTGTGTTCGGGTGTGGTTTGTCACAGTCGGTTGAACTCGACCTTTTCCGGAAGTGTTCTCTCCGCTGGGCGCTTATCGGCCTTTGTTGACGTGAAGGAGAAAACACGTCTGTGTATAAGAAAAACCTAAACGAAGGGAAACACCCCGAGGGCTTTAGCCCGAAAACAGTATATAATAAAAAAGTATATTATATACTCATGCCAATAATGATTGTCACCCCCTTCAAGTTTTTTAATTGGAGAGGGGGTGTGGGGTGAGGTGTGTGTGGGGGGGTTGGGGTGGGAAGGGGGTTGACAACCACTATTGGCATGAGTATATGATTCAAATCTCTTGTTAAAACTGTAATATGGATTTGATCTGATCTTGGAATCTACAGAATTTACTGAAAACACTTTGTTGAAGGTGTATAAATAACAAATATTTCTGATTACACAATGCTTTTTTGGGGTTGAGTCCGATCCGAGATTCGAACCAACACCCTCAGAGTCAGGCACCAAATCGCCAGCACACAGATTACTAGTTGTCCAACTTCCATTTTTGTGGAAGTCGCGCTGGCTGATCGGGTTAGGCGGCTGACTTTGTGTGCTGGCGATTTGGTGCCTGATTCTGAGGGTGTGGGTTCGAATCCCGGATGGGACTCAACCCCCAAAAAGTACTAGAATTTGTACTTTACTAAGAAAGCATAATCCCAGTATAACATATGTAACAAATATTTCTATTGTCTAGGACATTGCAGTGAGGCAGTAAGGGTGTACAAACGGTTATCTGAAGACCAGAAAGCTGCAGTGTCTGACATCTGAATAGTCAAGACCAGCCGAGGCCCACCAGCAAACCACTGTAACCATGGTTGCAAAGACCGACCCACAGTCAGAATGTGCTGTTGGAGAGGCTTGTTCACAACCCGAAATCCCATGTACTGACTGGCACAAAACTTTCCATGTCACTCTAAGCTTTAAGCAGTTAATAATTAAATAAAGAATTTAATCTTTTGAATTTTGTAATTTTATCTTGTCACAGGTATTACCACTGGTAAAACCCGGTTAGGGGTCTTTATTCAAAACGTAACACCTCGTACCGGGTTTTACCACTGATAAAACCTCCAAATTGAGATTATTCCAAGCTTTTAAGCTACCTCTTCAATAAAATGGACAAAAATAAGGTTAGGTTTATAATGTTTGTAAAACAAGCACCCGGTGTTGGTATGCTTACAAGAAATTGAGATAATGTGTCAACATAACCAAGAGAGAACGTTGATGCATTAATGTGGCAAAAAAACACTAAATGTCAAGTAAAGCAACTTTCAGAAAATCTTTGAAACAACATAAACAATACTGGTTACAATTCTTTCCCTGTCCTACACCTACTCCCTGTGTTTCCCAACTAAGCGATTTAATCTTTTACACATACGTAAACTGAGTTTGAACACGTATCTAAACAGTTAGTGACCGTTCACATGTATTCATGTTCATCCAACTTCTAAATGCCTTCCAAGAACTGAAATGCATGTGTTGTGTAATTGTTACTTATAACACACCTTGACTTCTCCCACCCGTGAAGGTCCGGGTTAGAATTGATCCTC